CCGACGCCTAGGCCCTTATCGACTCAGTCTCCCGACCGTCGCAAAGGGCACCCAACTAACATTTGGTCCGCCTCTGCGGGCCTGGGCCCCTGAATACAACCTCCAGCCAGCCCTTCTGGCCTTCTGGCCTGGTCGGCTTTAAGATCATCCGGTGCAGTTCACAGTCCTGCCCTTAGGACCTCAACCACTGTAGTTTCTGAGCTACACACCCGCGAAGATGTGCGGACTTTCAAGTAGAATATTTGTAAGGCCACCCAGACAACCCTGTCGCCCTAATAACGTCAGAAAAGTTTTGCTAATTCATTGGTCATGCGGCGATCACGGCCCAGAAAAATACCCTTGTGTCGTTCACGTCTGGCGTTCGTGAGCGTGATTCCCATGTAAAACGGCCGCCAAATGGCTCTCAACAAATTCTGGGCAAGGTATGATGACGCAATCAATGGCGTATTGAGAAGCATATTTGCTAAGTATATAGTGTTGTCTGTAGCAGTTTTTCACTTAAAAGTCTATCACTTTGCTCTGTTTATCATAAGAAATAACGGAATTAAAGTGCTGCCAACGACTTTGCCCGGTTTTTTGCGCGTGGGTCATTATTCGAGTGTGCTGTAGGCCAAAAACTACCGGCGCCATGGCCAGCATTACTTTGGTGTTGCGATAATATTTCACGCAGTGAAAAGTTTTTATATTATTTTACTTGCATATTTCATTGTCTTTTTATATCTTTTATATGTTTTAGTACCAAACTTATTTATGTGTTTTAGTACCTACTTACCAATGGATGAGAAATCTAATCTAGCGTCTGGAAGGATTCTTGGGGCACAAAGTAGGGAAATTGTTTATATTGCGTATCAACATTTTGTCGAAGACCGGGACATGAAGTTGAAGGCGGGAGACGACGACGCCGTCCGGGAGAGTCCATTATTAAAAACAGCAGCTGGAACGGGCGTTGGGAAGACTGCAGTCTACCGCATACAACGTGAAGCCCAGAATGGTGCCAGACTGAAGTCGCCAAGCCGATCCCGACCAGCTGCAGCAAGACCAAGGGTGGATCCAGATCCGTTCGATGTTTGCGCGATGAGGTGAATGATACACCAAATGTACATCGACGGAAAACATGTTACTCTGGACACCATCACGGATGCTCTTCACGAACAGCTCGGCGTCACCATGTCTAGATCCACTGGAAGAAAACACCTACTCGCGAACGGATTTAAGTACCGAAGGATCGACAAGCGCACGATCCTGATCGAAAGTTCCCGATAGCAAGATCACTTATACCGACGAGACATGGTATAATCAGTACGATATGGAGGACTTGGCGTGGCAGGACGGTGGTCAAATCAACGGACGGCACAACGCCATTGGAAAAGGACTACGTTTTATCATAGTCCATGCCGGCTCTTAAAAAGGATTTATACCTGGCGCACTTCTCCACCTCCGGTCCGATGGCACGAACGCCGACTACCATACGTCGATGAACGCCGACTGCTACGAGAAGTCGTTCACAGAGTGCCTGCTTCCGAACGTGCCAGAGCACTCTGCGATCATCATAGATAATGCCTCATATCATTCCCGTTTGTGCCAAAAAGTGCCAACTTCTAGCTGGCGTAAAGCGGAAATCCAGAAGTGGTTGCAGCAGGCAGGTGTGACCATCGACGAAGGCATGCGGAAGGTGGAGCTGCTGGAGCTAGTCAAGTCCCAGAACCGGAAGAAGGAATATTTTCTGGACAACCTTGCTAGAGAACATGGTCGTCGGATCGTTCGCCTGCCGCCGTATCACTGCGACTTGAACCAGATAGTTAGTGTGGGCGCAGATGAAGCGCGTGATGAGACGGGGGAACTTGACGGGGCGGATGGAGGAGGTGGAACGGCTGGTGGAGGCAGGTGTCGCAGCTGTCTCTCCAGAGGACTGGAGTAAGTGCTGTGAGCACGTCAAAAGGCTGGAGCAGCAGTACTGAACGAATGACGGGCTGCTAGATCTCCTACCGGCTGTCATAACAACCGAAGATAGCAGCGACTCCGGCGCCGAAAACGATGAATGGGAACAGTATGACACATCGATCATGACAAGTGTTTCCGTTTCGTTCTTTTCAACTGACTTCGTAGCGTTTACGTGGAGGTGGCACGTAGTTACGTGTGGGGTGTTTGAGCTGGATGTATTGTACATATATCTGCTCCTGCATGTTCAGCGTTTTGTTGAATACCTTCAATAAAACTGAGCGAAGTAATTTTCTGTGCTCGGCATTTTCCGATGTTGGTCATGAAACAGCACCAGTTCGGAGCAATTACCGAATGAAAGTATAGCACAACTTGCTTCACAGGCAGCCAATAAATTTAGAACGCAAAGATAATTGCCAACGAAAATAACCCCAGTACTAAAATAAATATATATATATATATACATATATATATATATATATATAATTATATTATACTATACTATATATATCTCTCTCTCTCTCTCTCTCTGCTTTCTCTCTCTCTCTCTCTCCTCCTGCTCTCATCTCTCTTCTCTCTCTCTCTCTCTCTCTCTTCTCTCTACTCTCTCTCTTCTCATCTCTCTCCTTCTCTCTCTCTCTCTCTCTCTCTCTCTCTCTCTCTCTCTCTCTTCTCTCTCTCCTCTCTCTCTCTCTCTCTCTCTCTTCTCCTCTCTCTCTCTCTCTCTATCTCTCTCTCTCTCTCTCTCTCTCTCTTCTCTCTCTCTCTCTCTCTCTCTCTCTCTCTCTCTCTCTCTCTCTCTCTCTCTCTCTCTCTCTCTCTCTCTCTCTCTCTCTCTC